AGCCTTCCATGGTGTTGCAAGAGTCACCCGTCGAGATACCCCATCATCCCATCCATTCTCTGAACAACCATGAATGCTTGTACCACCTTGTGCCACAATCTCTCTCTCTCTCTCTCCAAAGGCCATCTCCATAACCACTTCCCTAATAGAGCTTCATTCTTAAGAACTAAGTTACCTAATACCTAGTCCTAATCCCCCTTCTTCCTTACTTTTGCTAACTATCTCCCACCTAATCAAATGATCTTTCTTCACTTCCCCAGTCTCCCACAAAAAATCCCTCATCATCTTTTCTAGCTTCTTAGCTTCCCTTGAGGGTATCTTGAATACTGAGAGAAAATAAATCGACAGACTAGCAAGTGTAGCCGTAATCAAGGTCACTCTACCCCATAAAGAAATGTAACTCTTCTTCCAAGTTGCCAACCTCTTTTCAAACTTTTCCACAATTGGATACCAAAATCGACTTTCTTTTGGGTTAGCACCTAGAGGAAGCCCCAAGTAGGTTAAAGGCCAAGAGGACATGGAACACTTTAAGCAGCCTACAATAGCCTCTGTCTCCCCATCCTCCAAGTTAATTCCCACTACACAGCTTTTATCAAGGATGTTTGACAAGTTGGAAACAGATTTAAAGGATTTATAAGATTTTTTAGGTTTCTCACTCTCCCTAGATCTCTCCCCTAAAGGTGGATCACCGGGACATTATTTCTACCTATCCTCCAACCATAGTTGTCAAGGTGACACCTAAGCGACAAGGCGCCCATGGAGGCTCGCCTTGCCTTATCGCCAAGCAGTTTTGTATAATGTGTAATAAATTACTTTTATATTGTTATTTTTTTGAGATTATAATTATAAAATAGACATTATCAAACAAAAATGTTCATTTTTTTTGTGTTTATAAACTAATTTCTTTTTATTATTTTCTTATTTGTTAGGGTTTAATCAACACAAACATTGCTAACTGCTGTATTGAACCCTCAATGACTTTAAAATCTGAACCAATTAGTAAGGGAAGAACTTAAAATTTTGTCTAATCAACACATTTCTTCTTCCACATCATCATCATCTTCTTCCACCTTTTTTTTTTCTTCTTTTCCTATAACAAAAATAGGGGTTCAGCCTCTATTTTTTGAATTTTCTTTTCTTTCTTCTTTTTCTTCTCATAAATATGTTGATTTTCTAGACTTAAACATGAAGTTATAATTTTCTTATGAAAATTATGGATAGTTATTAAAGAAAGGTGGTTGTGAAACCTAGGGAACTATCCTAGGATATGTGGTTTTTATTTAAAAAAATCCATCGCCTAGGTGACACGGCGCCCCCCTATCACCTAGCCTCGCCTTGGCGCCTTGAAAAGTATGCCTCCAACCGCTTATTAGCTCCTCCCTATCTGCTTTAGAAATCATCTTTCTAAACACATCTATCACAAGTGTGAATAAGAAAGGTGAGAGTGGATCACCTTGTCTTAGCCCTCTACATGCTAGGAAAAAATCCTTAACCCCTCCATTAACTAGAACTGAAAAATGACAAGAGGCTATACAGCCATTCACCCAACTACACCACCTGTCCCCAAATCCATATCTTCTTAACACTTCTGACAAAAAATTCCAGTCCACCAGGTCATAGGCCTTCTCAATATCCAACTTACAAATGAAGCCTTGATTGTTTGATCTCCTCATCTCCTCCACACATTCATTTGCTATGAGGATCTGATCTATAATTTGTCTACCCTGTATAAAGGCTCCTTGAGCTTGAGTAATGAGAGAGGGAAGAACCTTTTTGAGTCTCAACGATAGCACTTCTGCCACAATCTTATGCATTTAATTCTTATTTAGTTATTGATAATTTCATTTTCATGTCTCTTCCCTTTTTTTTGACGGGTCATTTTCATTTTCATGCTTCCGTCTCCTGGTAGACTTATTCATTTTCATACCCATTTCCAGGTAGACTTATAGTCATGTTGCAGGTTTTTGGGATTTCCCACTCACTAGGTATGGGGATGAGGGGATGTCTGTAACATTCTTTTTTGTTTTATGTTATTTTTGTGTATTCACAAACAGAAAGGGGGTGGGGGATCATTCATTCATATGGATAAGGAAATATTTGGTCTCCAATTGAACTTTTTGGTTTTTTGGGTTTCTAGATTTCCTAGTGACTTTACTGACATGATAGCATGAAGTGGGCTCATTTCATTGTGTTTTGCACTCATCTCCTTTCCGTGCTCCTTATGCGTTTTTATTATTTTTGTCTTGGTAGTCTTCCTTGATTCTCTAACTATGATTGCAAGAAAAAGGAAGAAATGTTATCATCTATTACATGATAAGAAACTGATGGCAATTTATCAAAAATATTATTTTTAATGGTTTTACTATTTACAGATCCTTTTTTTTCTAGTTTTCCCACTTATGCATTTCAGCATTCACATTTCCACCAGTCATTTTTTGGACATGTTTCTTGACTACTTGATATTATGCTCCGTACAACCAAGGTTCAAAATATCGTTAAACCTCAACATGGTGGAAGAGGTGTATCGATACTCTGTACCTTCCGCTTTTACTTTTTTTTTAGTTTTTATTCAAAATTTCATAGAATTGTCTCATTTTATATCTTTTATAAAATTTTTCCTTTATCTTAAGAGGTAGTTTTCCTATCACATAAGACTCTGGGTGCATCTCTCTATTTGGCCCATCCTGATCTAATTCCATGGGTGACATCTTCCTCAATCTCTCCCTTTTTGTGGATTATTGAACAAAGATGATGGTGGAGGTTGCTTGAGATATCTTTTAGGCTTCTCTAGAATAGGAGAGGTGATGAGAGATAAAGAAGGATGTCTTTATTCTTGGTCTAATAGGAGTGGGGGATTCCATCAGGGTTGAATTGCCTGCTACATTGCAAGGAGTACGGATTGTAAATTTAAGTATGGTAAACTTGGAGATTGGGGGGAGGGGACTGAAAATTGGTGGTAGTATGGCAGAAGGACCCTGAGTCTATAATTTGGTGCTTTAAGGATGAGATGAAGTTTTCTTGGGGGAAGGTGGGTTAGATTCTAGAATTTGGGGTCCTAATTCTGATGGATCCTTTTCTTGTAAATCCTTTCTACATTCGATGGTTGCCACACAGTCTTCTCTTCATTTTCCAGTCAAAGAAATTTGGCGCCCTCCTATTCCCCCTAAAATCAGTGCTTTTTGTTGGGAAGTTTTTCATGGTTGTACTAATACCTTTGATGTACTTCAAAGGAAAAGACCAAATTGGTGCTTGTCCCCTAATTGGTGTGTCTTGTGTAAGTTGAGTGATGAGACTGTTTTCCACCTTATATCATGCCCTTTTGTTAGTTTTATTTGGAATTGGTTTACTTCCGTTTTGGGTGCAGGTGGTCCTCTCCTGACAGGGTGGAAGGTTTATTCAACCATAATGGTATCAGTGGTAAGACAAGGAGGGGAAGGATTCTTTGGAGGTGCACTAGAGCAACAATACTTTGGACCATTTGGGAGGAAAGAAATGATAGATTATTTGAAAGTAAAGAAAAATGCACGGAAGCTTTAGTTGAAACAATAACATTGAGGGTGGCACATTGGGTAAAAAGCTTAAAGCTGTTTTCAGATTTTAAAGTCGAAGACTTTTTCAGGGTTTGGGGACTTATTGCTGCTTCATCATCTATGAGACGATAGTTTTGTGAGACCTGGTCCCCTCTAACAGATGGTTGGAAGAAGTTGAATTTTGATTGGAGTTACCCAGGTCCTTCAGGTATTGGGGGGGGGCATTAGAGATGAAAATGGTTCCATTATTGCTCTGTTCTCCGGTCCTGTGGAGGAGGGTGACGTGGCAAGGGCAGAGTTTCTAGCTGCAGTATATGAGGTTGAGAAGGCCAAAGAGTTGGGGATTAATAGACTGTTCATCGAGGGAGACTCAAACACTGTGATAAAATGGTTGCAGAAAGGGGAAGGAGTGACATGACAGTTGAATAATGATTTCAGAAGATTTAAATGGATGCCAAGGAATATGTCAATTCAGGTGGGTTGGGTTAGGAGATTGGCCAACAGTTTGGCTGATAGCTTAGCAAAGCAAGGGGTTCAAAGAACATATATGTTTTGGGCACATTTGTAATTCTGTCCTGGGTCAGCTTCTATGCTGATTTCTTTTGCAATTTCTTGTTGTATCCTAAAGCATCTTAATTAATGAAAAATTTTCAGAGTTATTGATAAAAAAAAGGATGAGATGAAGAAGTTTAAATGGTGTACTAGAAATATGAATTTGAGGATATGTTGGGTGAGATCAGCAAATATGATGGTGGATGCTTTAACTAAGCAAGAAGTAACCAGGTCTGTTACAAGAGTCCCAGAGAGAGGCATGAGGTGCAGCCTCACTCTTAAGAGAAAATTACATCCAACCGGATTAAAATGAGGCTGTAATCGCTTACAAAGCAGCCCAAACAAAGAAACCCTATTAACCCCTTGTTTTGCAAGTAAGTCAGACATCTCATCTGCTGATCTTCTTGCTCATTGGACCTTCACCGTCATATTCCTTGTTAGCCAAAAAATTTTCTTAAGGAGATCCCTGAAGCCCCAAACAATCGAATCCGGATCCCCAACAACCATCCCACAACTATCTCGGAATTGCCTTCAATTACCAATCTTTCTACATCAAGTTGACTGGCCAGATGAATGCCCTGAATAGCAGCTAGCAGCTTTGCCCTGATGGTCTCCCACACCCATTGGACCTGAGAACAAGGGTAAAACAGTGCTATCCTTATCTCTCAGAACCCCTCCTATGCTAGAGGAGACAGGGTTACCTTGACTGCTCCTATCAAAATTCAATTTAACAAAACCCTCACAGGAGGAACCCAATCTGCAACAGTAAACTCAAAAGTAGGGTCTACTTTTTAGGCTTTCACTTCTTCTTCTTCTTCAACTAACCAAATGCCCATTTCACTCTCTCCTCTCTCATAACATATGTTTATATATGATCCATCTTATAATCTTAAACTAATATTCTAGTCTGATGGTCAGATACAAAATACACCACTCAACTGTTTTGACTCATTCAAACTGAATGGTTGAACTACTGACCCAGAAACCAGAGGGAGGGAAAGCGGTTCTGTTTCCAGGTTGTTTTTTAAAACCTTGCTGAAAACTCTGACATTTCTCCCACATGTTCTAAAATTAGTTGTTCCTCTATACTTGTTCTTAATTAAGTTCAGTTACCTATTTGGCACTCCTTTCCTTTACAATACCTGTCATATTATCTCTCTAGGGACTTTTTTATTCTTTATATTAATGAATATTATAGGAGTATATCTTTATTCTCTCTGAACTTTTCTATCAACTGTTTATTGATTCCATGGTTGATCTCCTTGGCATTAAAACACATAGACATTACTATTATGATATAGTTGTTTCATGTCATAACTTCTGCTCAGTTACTCTCTCTGAAAGTCTCACAATATGGCTCATGAGTGTAATCCCATGATAATCATTAAAACTTTGTATATTGCCTTTGTTTTTAAATATAGGAATCATATGTTCTTTCTCCATTCTTTGGCATCTTCTTTGTCTTCAGGATCTTATTAAATAATTTATTTAGCCATGATAGGCCTACCTCACCCTTTCCTTTCATCTTATTTAGGCATTTTTTCATATAAATGGATGGAACTTTTTTTATCATTTAATCAACTTTAACTTCTACTAAAATTGAAACTTTAATTATTATTATTTTCTTCTAGCTCATCACGTTTCTTCTTAATTGTAATAAAAAAAATGAATGAAATGTACAATACAGGGAGTGCTAAACACCCCATAAAATATTTGGATACCCTGATTATCTCCCTTGCTCCCCAATACTTAGCTTTGGTTCATTTTTCAAATTCCTTGGGGGGGATTCCCCTAAAACAACTTATTTCTGTTTTCACCTTGTTTGGCCACTGCATCTGTCATACTATTTACTGATCTTTGAGTCCAAGTGAATGCGGATCCTCCTTGCTCATTGGTTCCATTCATCATCCAGATTCCTTGGGGGTGATTCATTGATTCCATAAAACAATTTATTTCTGTTTACACCTTGTTTGGCCGATGCATCTGCCATACCCTTTCTGTGGGTGTTGCCTTAACACCTGGATAGGTTGTAATATTTAATCTTTTAATGAAATTTTATTTTATTTTCAACAAAAACCCCAGGTTCCATTCATCATTCAGATTCCTTGGTGGTGATTGCCCAAAACAATTTATTTCTGTTTACACATTGTTTGGCCAATGTGTCTGCAGTCTGCCATACTATTTGCTGATTTTTGAGTCCAAGTGAATGTAGATCTCATATTCCTAGCGAAGTATCTAGCTTCTCTCAAATATGTCTATACTGCCAAGGTCCTTGGCTGTTATTTTTGAGCCATCCTATTACTACCTAAGCTCCTTCCACCAGCAGTTTTGAGCCATCCTAATACTACCTATTACTGCCAAGTGAATGTAGATCTTTTGTAATTTAGGAATTTTCCTAGTATTAGCCCTTTAGCAGTTTGGCTCTAATTGAATTTCCTTTGCTAATAGGACCTGAATAAGTTGACAAGACATCACCATAAGAGTTTCTAAAAACTTTTACGTTTCTTTCATAGTATCAGCCCTTTAGCAGTTTGGCTCTAATTGAATTTCCTTTGCTAATAGGACCTGAATAAGTTGACAAGACATCACCATAAGAGTTTCTAAAAACTTTTACGTTTCTTGGATTGCCTAGGCTGTATTTATCAAAATTTAATTTTATGGAATTCATGGATTGAGAAGACATTTAAAAAAAAACCATGGACAGAGGAGATCAATTGATTGATACCAAGCTTCTAGTAAATGAGTAGGAAACTACGTTATACCACCATTTGACAATCATAAAATTAAATGTCGTGTAATGCATTAAGTAATATGTTTTCAGTCATTGTGGGCTTATACTATGAATGATCATGGGCCAGCCTGGGCCTTGGCTGGGCTTAGCACCTATGGTAAGGGGTATAGCTAAGGCCCAAGCAGGCAGGCATGAACTGGCCCACACCCCTACTGTCAAATAAATCCCAGAAATACACTAAATCCAAGTTTTAAATGACTATAAATATGGCATGTGTACATAAGAAAGAGAAATACTTAATAATTTATGTGAAATGTGAACTCTCAAGCACACACAGGAAATAGTAGAAGAATTAAACCAGTGTTGTAAGACTTGGCTAGCCGATCATAAGTTGTTCAGATATAGGGGATATAATTCCTTTTTTGTACATAATCTTTTTATAAAAAGTCTGGGTTTGGAGACTATATAATACTTGGGCAGATACTGTATATTCCCTGTGTATGGCTCCTTGTTGTACAGGGATCTTTTGTTTTGTTTTTGATTAATACAGTACTTTTCCTTTTTCAAAATAGAGAAAAGAAAAAGAAAAAAAAGCATTCCCTTGTTTCATGCCGTGTTTAGCTTATCTGTTTCATGTAGGAATGGTTCAGTTTCTTAACGTGGTAATTATTATTATGGGTTTGACTATGATACCAGAAAAACCTCACGGGGGTTTTTGATTGGTCAAAGCTCTTCCGGTACCATGTCTTTCCAGTATCATAGATTTTTCCTGTCATGACATATCTGCAATTCATCTAGGTTCAGTTTGATTTGATGAGTTGATGAATGCTCCTTTTATTTTTAGGGTTCATCCACCATGGCTGATACTCAATCAGTTGCAACACTCATAGACAGTGCAACCTCTAAAATACAGCAGCTTCAACAGGCATTTGCTGAGCTTGAAAGCCACCGTGCTATAACCCTGAACCTGAAATGGAAAGAACTTGAAGAACACTTCCATGGGCTTGAAAGGTCCTTAAAGCAACGGTTCAATGAGTTGGAGGATCAGGAGAAGAAGTATGAGAGCAAGGTGTCAGAGGCCCAAGAAATGTTGGAGAAGCGGAAAGCTGCAGTTGTGGCAAAGGAACAAGCCTCATTGGAGAAGCTCCAAGAGAAGAGAGATGCTGCTCTCTTTGCCATTGGAATTGTTGTTGACAAGTACAAGAATGCATTGACTTCTGAACCTGCTATTGTTAACATTGAGGAAAGTGGTGGTGCTGATGCAGTTGTGGAAGAGAAACCACCTGATGCCAACTCTACTTCAGTTGACATAGAAGATGTGCAAAACCCTTCCAATAATGGAGATATGGAAGAAAATCCTCCTTCCGAGCTAACTAAACTCTGTAAAGAAATGGACTCAAAGGGACTACATAAATTCATCTCAGACAACCGGAAGAACCTAGCAGCCATTCGTGAGGAGATTCCTATTGCACTGAAAGCAGCAACGAATCCAGCTCACTTGGTTTTGGACTCTTTGGAGGATTTCTACCCTATGGATGTGACTACTCTAGATGGAAAGAAGGATGCAAACCTCTTGGGTCACCGGAGAACTTGTATCATGTTGTTGGAGTGTTTGAGCCAGATGCTAGCAGACCCTGAACTGGATGCTGTTTCTGATGTAATTTCGGAAGATATTAAAGAGAAAGCGAAGGCCATTGCTGAGGAGTGGAAGCCAAAGTTGGATGATCTTGATATTGATGCCAGCAGTGGGAACTCTTTGGAGGCTCATGCATTCCTACAACTTTTGGCCTCTTTTGGTATTTCATCAGACTTTAATCAGGAAGAAATATCTAAGCTAATACCAAGTGTTTCTCGTCGTCGTCAAATGGCTGATCTGTGTCGCTCACTTGGGTTGTCAGAAAAAATGCCAGGTTTGCCTTCTTTTATGCTTGCAGCCTTTCTGTCAGTTTTGAATCTTTTGATGGAAGAGAAAGGGGGATCTGTAAAGCTCTCATTCCACTGTAGCTTGCCTGAATAATGAATAAAACTTAATTTAATTATCCCATGGTCTTTGAGGTCCATGTGGATAATATAAAAAATGCCCTCTCCCCAGGGGTGGTGTAGAAAAGAATGGATAGGGAAAATAACTTGCTGGTGGATAGTTGCTTCTGCTGCAGATCCCTGTCCCTTCATGGTAGATTATTGTCCAGTCTGAATAGTTTGGTCAGATGATTCTTAAGATAGGATGGTGCATTGGCTGATAGCCTTGTAAGGAATGAAGTGGGAAGTAGAACTTTTTTTGGTACAAGTCCTAAAAAAAATAGCTTAGTGGGAAGCAAAACTTTAATGGATTCAGGTATCTACCAAAATTTTAATCCAACCCTGTTAATATTCGAACTTGAATAAGATTTTATCAGCCAGATTTTGATTGGATTTGGATATTATATATCATTAATAAATTAAACTATAAAATGACCACATTATTATATTTTAATAATAAAATGAGTTAGAAGTGACTTAGATATTATATATCTTTTAACAAAATAAATTAAGGCTCCGTTTGGTTCGTGGGAATAGGGGTCTGGAATCGGAATCGGAATGGGCAATTCCAACTGTTTGGTTGGATGAATCGGAATCCCATTCCCATTCCTGCTGGAATGGCATTCCCCCATTTGAGGGAATGGCCATTCCCTGCCCCTCCCTTGGGAATGAAATCCCATTCCTGCTGATTTCAATTCCCATTCCCATTCCTGTCTGAACCAAGCAGACTATGGGAATGGACCATTCCGATTCTGATGCGAACCAAACGGACCCTAAAAATAACTTCCATGAAATGTATGAGTCTTTAATGAAAGTACGATATTTAAACCAACTTCAATAACAAAATATGTTAATTTTATATAGACATGCATATGCACACTAGTATTATCAGATCATTGAGATTGGGGTGGACCCAGGTCGATCTGATTATAAATGGATCTGACTTTTTGAGATTGAAATCTGGCCTAATCAAATTGAATTTTGAAATTGTTGATGGCCTTAATGGGAAAGGGAGAATTCATTGTGGGAATGATTGGAATCCCTGATATCACTTATCAGTACAAGGTTCAAAGTATGAATACATATCACTTGTATCATACATATTGTATTGGTATCAAGGATCACCGGAATGATAAATAATGAGAGTTAGGGGACTTCAATTGTTTCAGATGTTAATAACCATCCTAATATATCAAACATTGAAATATCAAACTGAAAATGTAAATGAGAAATGATTGTTGAAGCTGCCGATAAAAAAGATGATTGATTTTTTTGATCAGTAAAAATGTATTTTATTAAATTCAGATTATAAGCAATTTATACAACTTGGTGATGGGACTGTTGATCCCCTTTAATCATTCTATTCTACCCCTCATTACAGTGCAGCCCAAAATAATTGTTGTCACAATGTCCCCTGTTTTACTAATCCATCAGCTAGCCCATTTGCACTTCTTCGAATCCATTTAAATTCAGCATCAACCCTCTTTTGCAATCTTCTCCACTTCCCTAATCACATGTTTAAACGTCCATAGGGTATGGCTGTTATTTGTTGCCCATGATATTACTACTTTTGAGTCCCCTTCCACTTCAACATGTCTGCATCCTAGTTATTTGACTAGCTTTAACCTTTGTAGTAATGCCAACAGTTCAGCCTTCAGCGAGTTTCCGTTGCCAATTGGTCCTAAGAACATACCCAATATCCTCCTGTCAGAGTTTCTTAATACTCCTCCGATTTCTGAGATGCCTGGATTTCCAAAGGAGCACCCATCAAAATTCAGCTTTACTTTATTGCTTTCTGGTGGTTTCCACTCCAGCCTTGCTTTATTTCTTACTCTCGACGATTGTGCTACTTCGGACCATGTTCTTAGAATGTCTGTGACTGAGAAGACTTGAAAGCTATCCAAGGATTTTACCCAATGGGCTACTTTCACCTTGATGCTATCAATCACTTCCTCTATTGTTCTACTTTTTTCCAAGAAGATTTTGTTGTTCCTCTCTTCCCATGTTACCCAGCAAATTGCTGCCTTTGTTGCTTTCCACATTACCATCCCTCTTTTCCTTCGCTGTCTCAAGAAATCATGGTTGAAAAGTCCTGCCACATCTTGAGAGGGAACTCACCTGCAGACAAAGAGAGAACAAAAGAATACCCAAATTCGATGCACAAAAGAACAGGATATCATTAAATGAGAAAGGGTCTCACCACTTTCCTTACACAAAGAACACAAAAAAAAAAAAAATGATTGTTGAAGCTCACAATTTGCAATTTTTGCACATTGTATCAATACTTCTTTGAACCTTGTATCGATATACCTTGCATCAGCATTGTCAAGCTGATCACGGTGTTTCCCTTCATCAGCCTTTGAGATTGTAGGGGTGCATTGATTTTTCTCTTTTGTGCCATTAAGGCTATGCTTGGTTTGGTAGCGAAAGGAAGGGAAAGGTAGGGAAACCCATACAAGGTTTGTACAGGTTTCCCTACCTTTTTCTTCAAACCAAACACAGCCTAATAATATCTCTTTGATCTATTGTTGATTATTATTTTTCTGTCGTTCAATTTGGTCCTGTTTATATCTTTTGAATCTTATTGTGCTCTTATTTTTCAGGTGTTATTGAAGTATTGTTGAACAGTGGTAGACATATTGATGCTGTTAACTTGGCTTATGCATTTGAGCTTACTGGGCAATTCTCACCTGTGACCTTACTGAAGAACTACTTAAAGGAGGCAAGAAAAGCTTCTTCACCTGTCAAACCTGGAAACACATCTCCCACTGCTCAGGTGTGATTTTCTTATCCAATATGTTATGTTTCAGTGCAATATCTCTTATATTCTTTTTATTTTTTCCTTATACTGAAATTATCCATGCATGTTCTTTTTATTATTTAACTTTATATGTTTTTTGGTGAAGCATTAACTTGGTCCTTCATTGAAGCCTCAAAAGGTAATAGAAGAGAGATCTATTGACCAAAACCTTTTAATTGAATACTATTAGTGTGACCACATCTTGAAGCTTCTTACTCCAAGATTCTGCTTTATATAGTCAAGATGCCATTTATCTCCATACAATGGAATCCAAAGAGCATAACATCCAGATATGCTAATACGTAGCCACCTCAACTATGGAACATACTCAATGTTACTGGTGTATTTGTTGTCTATTCGTTACATGCATGATGCATCCTTTTCTGATTGGTCAGTATTTATTTGAAACTAACAGAATGCGATTTTGGTTTGTTGGTGCAACTTAAAGCTATGTTGTGCTCATAGGTTGAGATTGGCCAAGTAATTTACTGACAAGTTTGTGCCATGGAACCATGTAGGAATGTATTAGAGAATTGCAGTCTAAGACCCTGCTGAGACCCTAGATAGCTGGGGACCAACATTGGATAATGACCTTTTACATCCAATTGTTGGACAGTTGGAGGTTATAAGGGCATACTTGTAATATTGATAAACTTCTGGGGACTTGTATGTATTTATGGGAGGAGGAGGGACCTATGTGTAATTCTGATAAATTGGGTCTTTTGCTTATTTAATCCATTGGTTGTGTTGGATAAGGGTTGAGTGAAAGTGGATGTTTGGTTGTGAGACTGTAGAGAGGTTGGTTATGTATCTATTACTCTCATGTTTGATATTTTTTCCTCTTCCAATGGATGTAGGCTACTGAGCTGAACCACATTAAATCTTGGTGCTTTCTCTCTTCTTCCGATTTTCTGCTTGGTTTACTATTCTTTCTTCTGCTGGTTGACACCAATAATGACATGGTGCTCCCTCTTCCATTTTCACACTTCCTGTACCTATGGGTAATATATATTAATAGTGGGAGTTACAACTTCAGGATAACTATAGAAGCCTTGGCAACAGAATTGAAACTTTTAAGTGTCATTTATTCTAGTTTTTTATTGATTAAACCATAGCCTAAAATCTCTGGTAGTTGAATTTCTAGCCTGTGCTACCTTTTTGATTGGTAAAATCATAGGCAAAATCTTTGGACCAAATTACTCAGTGCTTAGTAATCATGTCCAAACTACAATTCATTTTGCAAAATTTTAACAACTTTTTTCTGGAATTCTTGTTGGTTATTGTGTCAAGTTAATCATTGTAGGTGGGAGTGTGGACCAACTGTAATACCAAGTCACCTGAGAAAAAGGGATCTTAAATGATTATTGTTGAAATAATTTAGTTGTTTGTGTTAGGGTCTGTTTGGCTAGTTAAAGCGTTTTTTATTTCTATTTTTTTTTTACTTCTGTTATGTCTGTTATTGTACTCACTTATAGTAGGGGCACAAGGGTCTTTTCCCTTCTTATTTCTGCCGACCTATATATATTATAATAAAAGCTGGCGCTGCCAGCATTGTTACATTGCCAATCCCTTCTCTTCTCTTCTCCCTTCTCTCTTCTTCTTCTCTTCTCTTCTCTTCCTCTTATTTCTGGCCGGCCACACTGTCAAGATGGTATCAGAGTAGGAATACTGACTGAGAGAACAGATCGAACAAACTTCACTGAGAGAACAGATCGAATAGACTTCACCCTTCCAACTTGTTGAATATGGGCGGAACAGAGATCTGAATCTGGACTGAGGAAAACAGATCTACAATTGGTACAATCCTTCCTTTTTTCTCTTCCTTACCCTCCTTGGTCATGTACCAAGTGAAAAAAACCAAATGAATCTGGGCTGCTGAATGCTGTCAGATCTTTATACCTCTGTTTTTTGGGATCGTGTGATCCTGTTCCTGTGTTAAGGCGACTGTAGGTCAAGGAYGACCTGTTATCTCAATTATTTGGCTTGATTATAAGTGTTAAGGATCTCTCCTGCTGATTAATGTTCTTAGACATTCTGGAAGGCTGGTAGGTTGGGACTGTTAAACCGTACA